AGTGAAGTATTATATTCGACCACACTTGAATTCAACTTATACTCAACCTAACTTGAGTTTTATTTACAAGTTAACTTCGTTTGAGTTAAGTACGACGACATGGGGCTTCACCTAGATTCAACCAAAGATATACTCGACCATGTTTGAGATAGCACATACCAACACAATTATTCTAAAGCAACTATTTAAAGAAAAATAAAAGACCCAATAACGTACAACAAAGGGTTGTGATCATTCCATTCAAAAAAGTATCTTACAAAGGGCCAGAAAGACGCCCACAAAAAACCTAAGTACAAAGTACTACTCCATATCGTCCCCACCTTCATCGCTGCCGCCTTCACCACCCCGGCCCAGTAGCGCCGTCTCCGCCATCGTCTTGAGGATATTCTTCTTCGTACTAGGCATCCTGCTCAAGATCATCCAATTCTTCCTCCTCCTTGCCGTCGCCGGCCCCTGGAGTAGCTGGGTCATAACCACAAGCAATTCTAGCCGCACATGCCTTGAAACGAGCATCTTCAAAATCGACCTCAGGAACCTTCCCCGCCGTCATCAAATTCTTAAAAATGCCTAGCTGAGCCTCGCCGTGGATCCACATCTCATATAAGTGTTGCGGAACATCAGGAAAAGCAGAATCATGAGAGGATGGTCGGGCCAATAGCTGCGCCTTCTCGGCCTCAAGAGCAGCGACTTGATAACTAAAGTTTGAAACCTCTCTCTCGAGCCCACCAATTATCTCATCAAGTCGTGCCTCCTTGAGCACAGCCATTTTCGCTTCACTCGCCCGTTCAGATCTAAGGACGCGAATGACCTCCTCCAATGGCGCCACCCTCGCCAAAGTCGTCGTCCTGGCCTCCCCGGTCCTCTCCAACTCTGCCATTTTCTCGATCAACTCATCACATAAGCCGTTAGCTCTGATCGAACTCTGCTCAAGCTCGGCTCGCAGGGATGCCACTTGAGCTTAAAGGTCGACACACTCAACCGCGACCCCCTTTCTCACCTCGAGCTCATCTTCTTTGGCTCTGAGCGCCCCCTCGAGCTTGCTACAGCTACCAATAACCCTCACGAGCTCATCATCCTTCTGCCCCAACTCATCTCTAAGGGATTAGAAATTGTCGTCCGCGTTGAACTAGGCACGCATCTCATGGTACTTGTCACGATACCTGCAATACTTTAAAACCATTTCTTGAACACAACCTTTCGTTTCTCCTCTCGACGGGCGCTCTTGATCTTCGGAATTAGAGTCTAAGGGAAAAAAAGAAAGAGCCGAAAAGAGTTAGTAAAAATAGAAAGGGGGAAGGACGCAAAGTACAAAAACAACAAAAAGGAAAACACACCCTCAGAGCCATTCCAGATACTCTTAATGACATATCGGCATCCTTAAATGACTGTAGAGTCCTGTTCTCGGCGCCAGAGCAAAGAGGGACCAAAGAGGGGACCACGCTCTATGTGTTAGTCAACAGGTTGCATTCCAAAGGGATAAATATCAAATGAGAAGATCATCCATTCTCACCTTGACCCGGGTAAACCCCTCATCGAACATCTTCTCCTCATCGGGGTCGATGTCAGAGCCGGATTCATAATCATCTACGGCCACTCCTTTCTCCCTCTCTTCAGCATAGGAAGGAAAGTCAACCCACCTTGACGTTGACGGATCACTCCTCGGAATGACCTCAACTGCCTCTGATCGCCCCCTCCTTCCATGGAAGCAATCTCCACATTTGAAGAGGGCACAGTCTCTGCGTACAAATCCATGCCGCTCTCCGTTACGGCTGCAGCCCGCTCGGGGTCACCTTTTGCTGGCTCTTCATTCTCTATCACCTCGTCACCAATCACTATTCTCTACCTTTTTAGCGGGACCACTTCCTCCTCAACCCGAGACGACTCGTCTATTAAATGCAAAATTGGAGAATTCAGAGTCTCCACTGAAGGGGCAGCCGCCCGACGGCTAGGCCTTTACAGAGTCGGAGTCTGAGAAGAAACAACAATCTGAACGGACTCGCCTGCAGTTGCAGCAGGCAGAGATCCGGTCGAGGCACCCGACTGACGAAAAGTGGGAGTACGAGCCCTCGTCCTCCTCGGAGACCTCCTACCTATCAACAAAGAAAGACTGGGTGAAGTAAAAAAGGAAACGATATATGAAGGACGAAGCAACTAATGTCGAAACCAGTAGACTCACCGGTCAGAGAAGGTTTACGTCCAAACTTCTTATTAAAATACGACCACTCACGGATCCCCACCGTGTGCGGTAGAATTTGGCTCACCTAGTCGTGAATGTCGGCGACCAACATGGGAGGATCCTTCTCGACTGCGTAAAAGGGGAAGAATGATTAAGCCACCAAAGAGACAACAAACATTCAGTTGGCAAAAACACTTACGAGCGAAGTTTCACTCCTCGGGGAAACCATTGGGGTTCGCCACCATGTGCTCCGTCCTCATGTAAAAGAAATTAACCTAAAACTGATGATTTGTCTTATCGTCCATCTTCACCACTAATCCCTTGGTCCCGCAGTGGCGGAGGTGTATTATTGTACCCCTATGAAAACTTGGGGCGAAGAGGTGTAGTAGATGGCGAAGGGAGAACCCGCGGTTGGCCAGCTCCGCATACTTCGTCGGCATAAGGAACAATTTATAGATATACGGGGAGAGCTGGGTCGGGCAGACGCCATAATAGCGACAGAAGTCCTCCGCTAATGAAGGAAGAGTAAGTGAATAACCCACGACGAATGGATACGCGTAGAACGCGCAGTATCCAGGGAGATGAACTTGTACCACATCGTTACCACTCGGGACAAGGTCGATATGGTTTGGGATTCGAAAATTTAGCCCTAAGTTCAACAAGGACTGTCGCATCCATGTAAGAAATAACAGGCTCAGGATCTTCTTCAGGGCGCTTCAAGAAGTCCGACCTGGCCCTTTCTAAGCGTGGAATCATTTCATCCACGGTGGGGAAACTCTCATCTTATACAGCAATGGCTTCTCCTTCTTCATGAGGGGGCATGGCCACCGTCAATGGAACAGGATCAGAAGTTCCCTCAAGGTTGGAAGATGCACTAGCCATCCTTTGTTATATATATGTGAAGGAACTGTGAGTGCAAAGTGATGATGGTAAGAGTTGCTAAAAGAAGGAATGCAGAAAGAAGAAGAAGGAAAGAAGATATGCAGGTTCAATAGGCTAGAAAATGTAAAGTTTCCTTCAAAAGGCTTCCCCCTTTATTTATAGAGAACACTGGCGCACAAATCGAGAGAAACAATTGTCAAATGCACTGGGATCGAAACATTAGGGACACGGGAAACGAGGCAACGCATTGGAAAGAGGCGTAATGATGACGCATGGAGCTGTGGCGTCTTTTCTGAACCGATGTCATTAAGCGTGGCTCTCAAAATGCCACGTCATCAACTCAGTCGCAATTCTGACTACTCGACCTCCCTAAATTGTTACTAACAAAGGCTGCTCATCGAGGTCGACCAAAAGGTGGCCTCGATAAGCGGTGGGACTAACTATATGGGTCAAAATCCGACCGAGGAGATTTAGCACGAGAAAGGTAATTATCGTGAGAATTGTAACTTATCATAGACAGTTCGGCCGAGGTCGATCAGTGGCGAATGGAACCAAGTGTTGAGTAGCTCATCAAGGTCGAGGTCGAGCAGTAAAAGATATAAGTAACAGTTAGTATAGCTTTGGAACTAACAAATGGAATATTCCATTGAATATTCCTTCTGTTGTACCTTTTAGGGTTTTCTCGGGAAATTCCATATAAAGGGTAGGAGAGATAAGGCAAGGGGCATGTAATATTCTATTTTGATAATAACACTTTTGAAAGGCAAGCTCTCTAGATAAATACAAAGAACAACTTTCTAAGGGAGATTCGATCCTGATACTCAATCTATTGTCATTTCCACCAGATCCGAGAAAGTGTGTAATATTCTCTCATATTCTTGTCTTAAATCACTGTCAGAAAAAGGAATCATCCACCTCATTCAATATTGGGTGAATCATTCTCCCTATTTATATTCATTGTCATTTAACATATTTATTGCTTATTATTACTCCTCACTCATTCATAGCAGTATCATTTAATATACATTGTATTAAATCGGTTTTAATGCAATCTCACATTAGTCGTACAAATACTTTTCAGATCTAGAAATTATTATGTTTAACTAGGATTTATCCTTTAGCTCCTTATTTAATTAGTTTAACAAAAGGTCTTGTACTTTTTGGATTAAACACAATTAATGATATATAAGTTCCCCAAAAGAGATTTTTGCTAGTTCCTTTGAAGCAGAACTTTTTTAGTGTAGAGATTTAAAGAGCTTTAATTAAGTTTTATTCAACCACTATTTGTCTTTTTATTTATTAGTACCAATTTTATAAAGATATGGTTTAAAAAAGATTCATATAGCTGACTCCATAATTAAATTGGGGAATATTGATTGATTATTTTAGACGATAGGATATTATTACTATTTATTACTCCTTCCGGTCCAAAATAAGTGATTTTTTGGATGTTTTCACACAGATTAAGAAATCCATCTTTTAACATTAATTAACAATGAAATTGACCATATTGACCTTTACTATCTCACATAAACACTCTTAACTCATACTCCAACACTATTTACTCCAAGGGCAATGTAGGAAAACAATAATTAATTCATTCTTGAAATCGGAAAAATCACTTATTTTGGACCACAAAAAAAATGCCAAAAAATCACTTATTTTGGACCGGAGGGAGTAGTATTATTAATTCTAAGATTAATATACATATTTATAGGAGTACTATATATTTGGAATTAGTAAAGCTTGTAGTGGAGGCGTGCACACTATATCAAAAGCAGTAGGCTTAATACCGTTAAACCCAAACGGTAATAGGCGTAATTGTCTAAAACACAAGTACGACCGTTGATCTAGAACTCCATCAGACGGCTAAGATTTAAAGGGAAAATAAGACCGTTGGGAGTGAAGCGCCGATTGTGCAGCTTCAAAAAGGGTGTATTCTTCACTTCTCCCAAGTATCTCTTCTTTCTCTCAAAAACCTTTCGGAGAAAGAGTTTCAAGGTTTCCTATGGCTTCAAGAATCGTTCTTCAACAGCAGAATAGAGGTTAGATTTTTTTTTTAAATAAGCGTTTGATGTTTTCTTTCTTTCTATACTATACTTATCTTTTGATTCTTATTTTTTCTTTTCATTTTGATAATATTTCTTGTTCATTTGAATAAATTTTCTGAATCTCATTTGGTTCAACGATTTCTCAAGTTCTGTGATGGATCCTTCGATTACTACTGACCCAAGTCGTTTTTTCCCATTAATTGTGTCTTATAAATATGCTTAAATTAAATGTAAACATAATAATACTCTCTAGTGGTATTGATAAGCTTGAACTAATTGGACATTTCTGCGATACGCTTTAGAATTTTTCGTGTCCAAATGACTAGCTAAACATTCCTAAATGCAATGAACTTTAGATGTAAATCTGAATAAAAGAAAGAATAAACAAAACACTGTTAGTAAATTCATTGTTGGAGACTTAGAGCGTGATCTGATGAGAAATGGGGCCTATTGCTATTCTATATGTGGGTTTCTTGTAATATTCAGGACATAAATTTGCATTGTTTTGGGTGAACCAATCGACCTATTTTGGCTATTTGTGATATAGTTTTCAGTAAATGATGCACATCTAATCTTTATATGTTGTTGTTTTACCTTTTAAAAAAAAGAAATGGAATGGTTGCGTTAAGATTAACCTGATGAAAAAAGCTGTGGCCAATTGGTTTTTGAATAGGTCTTTCAGTAAACTTTCAGGGACATAAACATTTCTTATTGGGTGAACCATCTATCATGTTAAATGATGTTACGTATAATATCACTCTAAATATTATTGAACGTTAGTGGTATTTCGTTTGATACTAAGTAGATAGACTTTTCTGTACCATCCATTGTTATAGGGTGAACCTCTTGAAATGTTGATGATAGATGGTTCACTATATGATGTTACATAATCAACTCCATAGATATGACTATGTATTGAATGTTACTGGTATTTCATTTGATACTCCTAATATAGATAGACTTTTATATTGTTCAGGTGAGGCAGTCCCTGGGGCAGTAAAGCAGAAAAAGAATATGGCACCAGAAGGGAGAAATAGGAAAGCGCTTGGCGATATTGGGAATGTGGCTACAGGTCGTGGGGTCGAAGGAAAAAAGCCACTTCCTCAGGTATATCTCGCCCTTAACAAGGAGCTTTTGTGTACAATTGTTGGCTAATGCACAGGCTGCAGCTGAAAATCAGAAGGTTATGACAACAAAAGTCATAATCTTTCTCTGCATTTCAATCTCTATGATCTTATACTAGTACTGATTTTGGTTGTGGACTTGTGGTTTTTTTGCTGTTTGCAGAAACCTGTGGCTGTTAAGGTGAAAGGAGCAAATGTTGCTAAAGTACCTGCAGTAAGGAAACCAGCTCAGAAGAAAGCCACAGTTAAGCCAAACCCCGAGGATATTATTGAAATTAGTCCTGACACCCAAGAAAAACTGAAGGAGAAGATGCAAAGGAAGAAGGCTGATAAAGACTTATTAAAACAGAAAGCAACTCTTACTTCAACTCTCACTGCTCGAAGCAAGGTTTGTGATTGAGGCGTAGTTTTATTGTTTTGTGCTTTACATTATTGTATCTGATTTTCTTGTCAACTTTATAAAGGCTGCATGTGGTCTGAGTAAAAAACCAAAGGAGCAGATAGTGGACATTGATGCTGCAGATGTAAACAATGAGTTGGCAGGTGTGGAATATGTTGAAGACATTTACAGCTTCTACAAACTTGCTGAGGTATCCATTGTCTTGAACTTGAGCTACATATCAATTGTTGCTGTCTATATTTTTTTCTTGTTTACTAACACATTTTGATCAACTTGAATATTTGTACCTGTTTGTAGAATGAGACAAGAGTTCATGACTATATGGATTCACAGCCTGAGATAAATGATAGGATGAGAGCAGTTCTGATTGATTGGTTGGTTGAAGTCCACCAAAAATTTGAACTTAATCCAGAGACTCTTTACCTCACAATCAACATTGTCGATCGCTACCTTGCTGTGAAGAGTACATCAAGAAGGGACTTGCAGCTAGTGGGCATCAGTGCCATGCTCATAGCCTCCAAATATGAAGAAATTTGGGCTCCTGAGGTACATTTTCGGAGCTACATCAAATAGGATTTGCAAGTCTATGAGCTGCTCATGGCTAAAGCTAACAACTTTCTGAATGTTAAATTTGATTTCAGGTCAACGACTTTGTGTGCATCTCAGACAAAAGTTACACTCATGATCAGGTGTTAGCTATGGAGAAAGAAATTCTTGGGCAATTGGAATGGTACTTAACAGTCCCAACACCTTACGTATTCCTTGCACGTTTCATTAAAGCTTCTCTACCTGATTCAGAAGTAAGTTCTTTGAAATTCTTGGATATTTCTGTCACCATGAGTTTAAGGTACTAATTGACTGACTGTTTTTGAACCCCTTATAATATCAGATTGAGAACATGGTATATTTTCTGGCTGAGCTGGGGTTGATGAATTATGCAACCATTATCTACTGCCCCTCAATGATTGCTGCATCAGCAGTCTATGCTGCTCGACACACCATCAATAGGACACCATTTTGGAATGAGACACTTAAGCTGCACACTGGTTTCTCAGAATCTCAGCTAATGTGAGTCAGTCTTTTCTATACTACCTTTGTTCTTCTTCCAACTTATTTGGATTGAGACGTAGTTAATTGAATGATTGATTTTGGGACAGCGAGTGTGCAAGGTTGTTAGTGAGCTATCACTCTGCAGCTGCAACTCACAAGCTAAAGGTGATATACAAGAAGTACTCCAGTCCGGAGAGAGGTGTTGTTTCATTACTAACTCCAGCCAAATCCCTGTTGGCTGCTGCATCATCATCAAGTGTGTCATCGGGGCGACGCGATTTAGGCAAGAGCACAGAAGCAGCAGCAACATCATCATCCCCTATGGTGGTGGTGGGTTGTCAAAGGTGCCACATGTATGTCATGGTAACTGAAGCTGATCCAAGATGCCCCCAATGCAAGAGCGCTACTACTAGGAAGATGACTTAAGTTGGTTTCATTAATCAAGAATCCAAATTGCTTGCTAGGTTTCATTTTGTTTCTACAAGTCGAGCACTACTTGAGCTCCATAGTTGTGACTTAGATTTTTGTTTCTTGATTAATAGGAGTATTCTTTTTCCAATGTTGTGAACAAAGGAAGGAGGGAGCGTACTTTTCAGCTTTATCTCCTACCTCAATTGGCCAAATAGATCTGTTGACATGATATATTTAGTTCTTGAAAATTGCAGACTTGTGCATAAAGTTCATCAACAACTTCCCAAAAATATAAATTGCTACAGAAACCATTTTTAGCTCCCCTGGTGCATCTAAAGACATTTTGCCCCGTTGATTTTGATATGCAAGTTTTCCAAATTATTTGGCAAGAAATATATAAGAAAGACATTCACTAAAACAGTTCAGACAAAATTTTATATTTGCTACCATAAAAAGGAAAATGGGGCAAAAGAAAAGCTAACAAAGACGTAAAATTTTCAGTCCTTAGTAGATAATTTGCTGGAAAAAAAATAAACAAAATTTAGAAGAAACCTACAACTTAAGGGAAATCCGCTTTGGGAGCTGTTCCCCTTAGGCACCAATGTATATCACCGAAAATTCTTGATTCATCATATAGAGTATTTGCACTTTAATAGCCTGTTTGGCCAAGCTTCTTTTTGGGCCAAAAGTGCTTTTTTTGGCTAAAAGTGCTAAAAATTGAGGTGTTTGGCCAAGCTTTTGGAAGGAAAAAAAGTACTTTTGAGGAGAAGCAGAAGCAGTTTTGGAGAAGCAGAAAAAAGTAGCTTCTCTTCAAAAGCACTTTTCTGAGAAGCACTTTTGAGAAAAATACACTTAGAAGCAGTTTTAAAAAGCTTGCCAAACACTAATTACTGCTCAAAAGTGTTTTTCTAATTAATTAGCCAAACACAAACTATTTCTCACCAAAAGCACTTTTTTAAAAGTACTTTTGAGAAAAACACTTCTCAAAATAAGCTGATTTTAGAAGCTTGGCCGAATGGGCTATAAATCTTATGAGTCGACCTTTAGACGATAATACTGTCCAGTTTACTGGGCTGTTAGCTTATTAAACACTTACCTACTGCTCCCGCCACCTGTTTGGCGGGCAGAGGGCTCGTTATCTAGACTTTTTTCTCTGTTGGGGCCCTCCTATTACTATAGCCATAAGCTATGGAAGCTACAGCTTACAATCGCTGGGGTCCCGATAAAAAGGTAATTAAGAAAGTGTACAAATAGCCTTTTTTAGGGATGCTATTTAGAGATTAGCCATTATTTATTGTTCTAAAATTTTAAACTAAAAATCGTAAGTTCAAGATATTTTTATCCTGAAAATTTTAATCGAAAAACTAAAATTCGGAATGTAGTGCCTAATTCCTAAACAACAACCTTTTAGAATGGCTACTTGATGTCATTTCTACAAAAGTAATGGTCCAATTACGATGAGCCAAGAAGGAAGTGGGCCATAGCCAAGGGGCCTGCAGTAAAAAAGTAATGGTCCAATTATTATGAGCCCATAAGGAATTGGGCCATAGCCAACGCAAATATGAGATCCAGTCCTTAATGCCCACCCAATGCGGTGAACCATACCCACGACTGCTCTGTTAAGTCAGCCGATAACAATACCCAAACGGGTAGGGAAAATCTCTACTTGCCAGAGTATTGTACCGGACCTTCATACAATCGTGTGCTCGGCACAATTCATTATGGGTAATTCACAATAACACAGTTCCATTACTTTATTACTCCCACTTGGGTTACAGGCCCACGTTACAGAGCCCAGTGGCACTGTTCTTCCTGTGCTTTGCTTATAAAGTATGCACACACACTTCTCACTACGGTGTGGGACAATGCAGCATTATCACTTTGTCCTCTAGGTTGGGAAAATCAATTTTTCTCATCTCTACTTTTGTGCTGTGATCATGCTTTCCTTGAGCCGAGAGTATCGGAACTAACCCCTCTACCTTCACAAAATAGGGTAAAGGTAAGATCTGCGTATACACTATTCTTCTCTGACCCCACTTGTAAGATTATGTTGTTGTTATTGTTTATCTCTATTTTTGTTACTTATCTCAACTTTAAAAATACAAATATTATCTCTCTCCTATCTCAATTGCTTGATAATTCTCAAATATGTATTCAACTTCTAAATTATCAACTTTCAATTTCCAAAATTTATAGCATTGAAATATCTTTTTCATCTTTTCTTTCATAATCTATGTTATAAACTCATAAACATTACATGTGAAGTAAAATAAGTAATAATCAAGTATATTCTGCATTTGTTCTATTTTATGTGATATTTATTGTCACGACCCCAAACAGATGGGCCGCGATGGGCACCCGGGACCTTACTCAATCGAGTACCAACGTAATGTATCTTTATTATTACATCATTATATACACGTGACATACGAGCCTAATAGGCCAACATGATCATTTATAAACTTAAAACATAGTCCTATAAGGCCGTACAATCTTTCACGTACACAACATATGTCTACAAGCCTCTAAGAGTACATAAATGTCATAAAGGTCGGGACAGGGCCCCGCCATACTAATCAGTACATATCCTAATCATATTGACCACATAAGCAACTCTGGAGCAAATGGAGCGCACTAACATCTTCCGCTGAGCTGATAGCTTACTTGACGGACTCTCGACCTGTCTATCGGGGCTTGCGGGCATGAAACGCAGCGTCCCCAGGCAAAAAGGGACGTCAGTACAAATAATGTGCCGAGTATGTAAGGAATGAAAATCAGTAACTAGTAGACATGAGAGAAACATGGAGTAAAAGACTCAACATGTATATCTGAATAACTCTGTGAATCATTTAATATTATAATGTCGTGCATATGCGTATAAATGTCATACCATGCATGGGTATATGCGTTCATAACATCATCAAGCCTCTGAGAGCATCCCATCATGTCATCTCGGCCACTGTGGGCAAATCATCAACGTATACCAGCTGATTAGGTGGTGGTGCGTATATAACGCCGTAACCTTTTCCCATATCCCATATAAATATAATATACATATATACGCGTATATTACGCCATCTGGTCATGGGTCAATTTACATGTATAAATGCATGAAATGCATAAGAAATACGTTAATAAGATTTTATCGGAATGCCATAAAAATCAATATGCCTTTCGGCTAAACTTTATCAAATACGTATTTTTCTGAGACCCATGAACAGAAAATATAATAATAATTCACATGGGGAATCAAGAATATAGACACCCCTAGTATTTTTATGAATAGAGTCATTTATAAAAGTTGCGTATTTTGCTCGTTTCATTTGTATCGTATGGATCATGCCAAAAGGAAAGAAGGGATAGCCTTAACATACCTGGAGTAGAGAAAAATTCGTATAATATTCTTGAAAAAGATTACACCGTACTCCTTTAGAACCGCAAATTTTACTTTGCTACGGTTCTAACAATTCTCGATATAACTGTTTGCTAGAATTTCGTTGGAGGCTTTTTCAGTTGAAACTAGCGTCTGTGCTTGAAGATTTTGAATTAGGAAGAAAGAATTATAGTTCAACTTGTTATTCTCTGTCCAAATGAACCAATCTTTTTTAAAAGAGACCAACTTTAAAAGAGACCAAACATTTTATATACACTTTGAATGCTTAAAGGTTTTGCACGTTACATTAGATAGCCACTGATCTCATGTGACTACTTAGTCATTGGTTTTGTTAGCTCCCTTTGCTCCCACGTCTTATTCTCATAATAATTAACTAGGTGATATCTCGTTACCCGATAATTAACCAATTACCCGTATAATTAAGAATTATCTCAAGTTACTTAAAGTACTACTTATTTTTAATATACTTTATACATTATATATTTACGGTCATACGGTACCTTTTATGGTACTAGTCCATAAATATCGAGTATTATAGCTCGAACCGTATTTTATCCCAAATCGGCCACCTTCAACGAAACTTGCTTTCTTTAATTCGTGTACCCTTTATCTTTCATGACACTTACTTATTGCTTGTTATAAATAGCATAAATATGTTAATATCAAGATAATCTCATCCCCGAGTCTACGTCGATTAACTGAAGACGAAACTTTAACGTACGAAAAAAAAATACGGGATAATATCTCATTTCTGAGCTTTCATCAATTTACTTATGGCGTACTTTCACGTACGAAAATATGGGGTGTAACATCATTCCCCCCTTTGGAACATTCGTCCTCGAATGTTGATTGGTGCACTTATCATTTTTATAGCCTATGTCTTCCGAGTACTTTATTACTCTCCTTGCCATATAGGCAACTGTTCTGTGAATAAATCCAAAGGCCAGGGCATTCCCCCCTTTAGGCCTCTTTCTCGCGCCACGGTCTGTGATCGGAATTCTTCCAATATCGTAACTCTTGCCACTTTTTGTCATGTAGCATGTATGACTTTTTCTTTGTACGTACGCCTATACGACTCTTCTCTCCTCTTTCCTCCAGATTTTAGACAATCTCTAGGCCTCACTTTGCAAACATATACAGAGCTTGATAAAATGTCCCTCTGAGCATCTGTAGGTATGCTGAAGTTCTTCGCTCGATACTTTGTCGAACTTACAAATATTGTTATACCTTATTTCATAGATCTGCTTATCCATTCGTATGACTTTACAGCATCTAGGTAGGCCATACTATACCATAATTCTTACTTCGATTTATTGTTACTGAGGTCTGCAACCAAACTCTGGGTTGCTCTTGTTGCTTATCCTATATGCATAAAGTTAATTCTTTTAACGCTTCTTTCTTACTGCTTATCTTAAGAATGATGGTCTAATCTCATCTCCTACTTTATATCTTTTATCCATCCATTGTCAATTCCACTATCAGGGCAGGATTCCATTTTTTCTAGATATTATTAGTCTTAGACTCCTTTGAGTTCGTTCAGGCTATACTGAACTTTCTATAACTTAGAGAAACCATTAGCTTTCTCGTTTTCATGGGTTTAATCCCGAGGACTTATCCGTTCTCGTCACCTTCTCACTCGCCCTTTCTCATTTTTACTCTTGTCATAAAACTTTGTCGCTTTACTATACTTTAGCTTGGGACCTATACATATTTATTTATACTATTCGCGGCCTTCCTTCAACTTGCTTGCACCATAGATTTCTTACGTTATTCTGGAACATCAAGCGAGACATCATACCGTCTCTAACTCTTCTTTACTCTCTTAACTAGATCTCTCGGCACTTAGAAACCATA